CAGAGCAGAGGGGCTCCAGCCCTCGGAGCATTTTAGTAGCCCTCCTCTGGCCCCGCTCCAACAGGTCCATGTCCTCCTGGTGCTGAGGGCTCCCGAGCTGGACACAGTACTCCAATATTAGGAAAGCAGTACTCTAATATTAGGAAAGCATTTTCTCTGGGAAACATAACCTTCCAGGTCAGCTGAACTTCCCACCAATACCATCAAACCTAACTCTTCAGTGAACATTTCACACCAAATGCACCAAACAAAACGAGTCGGTTGATGCTAACACGCGAGCGCCTTCCCTTCAGTTACCAATTTTCAGTACTTTTGAGGCATAAGTCAGCCTGCATCAGTAAGAAGACAAGAATGCTGAATTGCGATCGTGGCTGCAGGATTAAAGTTATCTCCCCTATACCTTGAAGCCACTGATCCAAAGTGTTATCGATAGTGCACTTCATCACAGGCAGAAATTCCGAGTTCATGAAGAGCCCTCGGTTTGGATTCCTGCTCGTCCTCTCCCGGTGACTTCTGGAACTGAAAAACTCTAACACCAGCTTTATCTGCCAGAGCTCAAATGTCTCAGACATTTCTCTTCTTTTTAATCTCCTCACAGCCTAGCAGAGAGGAAATACAAAGTGACTGTGAGAAAGTGAACTGGAGGAGGAAAGAAATGTTGCTGCCATAATCATTAAGTAAATGAACCCTAACACCTCCGCTTGCCAAGGGCTGCCCTCCTGAGCACCTACGGAGAGAAACTGCCCGCTAACACTTCTGGGGTAATTTCAGTTTTCATCACCTCAGATTATTTTCCAGTTTGCTTTTAAAATCTCTGCTGCCTCCCTGTCAGCTCGCTAATACGTCTCCCCTCCTTCCTTTCTGTCTTCTACAAAAATCACAGGCAATGAGCAATACTCTTATGCCAAAGCGTAGCTTTAAGAAAGAAAAAAAAAGCATTTACTCCACCTGATCTATGGCTATGTACGTGGGCAGCATCTCTGGATTTTCTTGGGTAACACATTCATAAAGAATTGAGGAGAAAAGATCCAGGATTTCCTGTTTCTGATAAAAGACACATGTTTAACAAAGCACACATGCTAGATACAATTTATTTCAGGTTCTTGCATTGCTCACATTTCCTTCCATTAAAGTTAACCCATGCACTGACATGACATAAATTAGTGATAGCCAACAATGCTAACGCAGCTTGCTTTCGTTCTCGGGCTTATTAAAACGAGGCATAATGCAGCTATATTTTACCCCCTCCCTCAAGCCATTTCGTGCAGAGAAATACCGTGCAAAACACCCTAACCCTTCTGCACTGAATTCACCTAAATGCTTCAGGACACTGAACAGGGCTCTCAGTATTTGTTAAACACCTTCTGCAATAAATACAACCGGTGCAGACAACTAGCAGCAACTGTGAGGCAACCGACAGGAAAAAAAAATCCCAAATCAACCCAACAAAAACTATAGGTCAATGCTGTTTCACACCTTCGTGTTACAAAACATCCCTTAGAATATTCCCCGTCCCCACTGCCCAAAGGACTGAATTCTGCTCCTCAGTTTAACATAGGATTTTCCCACCTTTTGTTCATGCAAGCAAGAAACCATGCTAGTCCATATCTAGGCATCGTACCTGGCCCATGTTCACAGTTGGTTTGCAAAAGTAATCAGCGAATGAAAACAGAGCAGGATCAGAAGTGAAAGCTGAAATCGCTTCTGGCTAAAAGACAGATTAAAGCACACTCTTAAAATGGACTTTTTGGTTTTACTGCACAAATGTAGTAGTGGTTTACACCCAACCCTTCCCCAGCACACAGGTGAGAAGACTGTAACCTACATAAAGCACATCACGGGCAAAACGCGCCCAACGCTTCCGTCTGCCCACGACAAACGTACATTCACATAGCTGCTCTTCGCTTAAGCTCATCGCATGCCCTGCAAAAGCCACCAGACTTCCTTTCCCTCAAGCAAAGCAAGTAACTTCAGTACTCGTAACCATGCGGCAGAGCTAGGCGCTGGAAATAAATAACACCGCACGACCTGCTGCGCTTCCCTCGGCCTTTCCAGAGGCAGCGTTCCTGGCAGGAAACCAGTTTGGGAGCGATACCTTGAATGCCCGAGCTTCAGAGTTTTGGTGAGTAACAGTCTGTGCTAAGAGACTGCGCCAGCCCATCGGGTCCTCCTTGTAGGAGAGCTGCCCAGCTCTCAGCTTCACGTACAAGACGCCACCCTTTGAAAGAATTGATCTGAAATAACAACACCAGTGCTTACTTTAAATTGACGCACATACACAATGAGGCAGACTGCTAAAGGAAGTGTGAACTCCAACAGCTCATGTCTGGCAATATCCCTGTTCAGGCTTTGTCCCAATTATTTAAAACCTGCCCCACTTATGTATATACAGAAGTCCTGGTACCTTCAAGGCAGGCTGCTATGAAACTGTGATGTGATGGCAGGCAATGGCAATGAAAAAGGCACGAGCCCTACAGATATAAGGATTAAAACTCGCCAAAACCATTGGAGCTTCTTGCTAAGACTCTTCAAGGATGAGCTCCCAGCACGAAGCAAAATCACACAAGTTGGTATCCACAGCTTTAAGGGCGTGCTAATGGTTCTTCCTCCATGAAAAGAAAAAAAAAAAACCCCAACCCAAAACCCAACAAAACCCCACTATTCCTGACCAAGCCTACAAATAGAAGTGTGCAGCAGTTCAAAGTTACGCTATTGCGAAGCAGCTGCGTGTTTACCTGATTTAGAGTATCAGTTGCGCCATTAACTGTAGCCACTGGGCATCCTTAAAATAACTAAATTATCTGTATTGAAACTAACTACTTAGCATAACAACACAGCAGCAATTGAGATGTAGTAAGATAGGGTAAATTATTTCTCACACATGCATTTATCTCCAGAACAATGCCGGCCAGGTCCCTACCAGTTTAAAGGGCTGGGGACAAGATGTTGTGCAATGAGAGCTGGCAGGTTCAGAGCATCTGGAGAGCCAGACAATAGGCAAGTCCCAAGGGCACCAGGTTCCTCAGTCACCCACGCTGGTTTCTGCTGCGGCAGCACAGGAAGGCTCTTTTGGGCAAACAAGCGCTCAAGTGTGGCAAAGGCTCAACCCAGGAGGACAAAGCTGGCTTCTGCCAGCTCTGCTGCAGCAGAGGAATTGGTACCTGCCTCCCGACCTGGAGGACTCTGCACTCTGCCTCAGTCCTGTTCGTTATCTTTAATGGCATGGACCAACAGACGCTGCATTGTAGTGCTTAATTTAATTTAAAGTAGCTAGAAAAACCGTGCTACTGATGAAGGATGCAGCTGGCTGCTTCTACACGACTCACAGCGGCAAGTTACACTGTAGGCTGCGGAGTGCAAAGATGAGAATGATTTTACCCACAGATACTGTATTCCGGTAAGATTGCTGTTTTTCACAGTTGCCCGACGGCGAGTTAAAATGCAGTAAGCAGTACTTTGTATACTTCACGTAACATGAGAAAAATAGTATTTCACAAAGCAGTAACAGTTAGCTAAGTACTGTATCAACAGTCTGGGAAACATGACATCACATCCACTCAAAACTAAACTAAAACCATGAGTTAAAGATGGTTTCTGGTACTGCTCAATCCCGCTGCCAATATCTGCGGTTTTTACTATCAGGTTTTCCCCTGGCCTGTTTTTGCATGAATTATTCACATCAACAGGTGAAACCAACTACGCAGTTTCTTTCTTCACCCTAAAGTGCTGTCAAATGCACAACAGTGAACCGATCAAAACCAGACTTCTTTCCAAACCGTAGGTGGTTACAAATAGAGGAGGTTTTAAAAAAAAAAAAAAAAAGTAAAAAAAAATTACTACAAGGTCATTATTCAGTTAGGCATTATAAAGAATACTTACTTCAGATGATTCGTTCCCTTGCTTAAATCTATTAATAATTCCCAGTACCGTGGTCCCTTCACTCTGATCTGTCAATGTAAGCATTTTTATTATTAGATGTAACCAGAATCAGAAGAGTCTTCTACATAAGCCTACAGTTCTCTCTGGGCCCTTACAAGGGCATGTGCCCTTTCATAGTGCTACCCACCCTGAAAGCTTCAGGAAGAGCACCTAGCTTTGTCTCCCTTGCAGTGAAGCTTTCTGGCACAGGGAACTCCCTGCTACATCAGATCTTGAAAGCATTATGATCAAGACTGAAGAGAAGCACGTGGCATGATTTAACACGTGCTCCATAGGGACAGAATTGTCTTCAGAGCCATTCCTATGGGACAGCATTGTCCAGAGCCTGGCTGAGGTCGGACAGGGAATGAAAGAAAAGTCACTAAGTCTCTGTTCTTGCACTATTTGTGACAAACTGGGTGATTAAATTCCTCATTAAAACAGAGATTTCCTTTACCTGCTTCAGTAAGTGGAGCTCTGGAAGAAGCGTGGGTGCCATCAGTTCCTCTGTGGCTTCTGCATACCACTGCGTGCCCTTCAAAATGCCACCAGTATTCACATATTAGTAAAGCTCATTTTCAGGTGAAAAGAAAGAAAACGTGCACCTCATTTGTAACAACTCCATTGGCAGAAGTCAGTCAGTTTCTGTTCTTGAGTTCTGAGTAAATACATGACTTAGCATTGCCTTTAATGTCAGGAAACACAAACCTAAATTAAAGGTTTATCTCCCATGGATGGATTAACACATAACATTGTGCAAGTCAGGCACACTTCAACTGAAATCTGAAGGTCTGAGAAGTAAACTGCATTATGAACATGCAGAACTCTTTGCCAGAACCACAAGGGATCCATGCTGCACCTCTTCTCCCCCAAAATGCCAAGAACCCTTTCTTTAGTGCTTTCATGAGCATCCCCTGTCTCACGTAAGCCTGCACAAAAATCAATCCCATAGAAGGGACTCTTCCCCAAAGACACATAATGCAAGCACCCAGGAGAAACACCAAGTTGCCCATTTCAGCAGAATTAGGACGAGGCTTTTAAACCCACAGATGGTTCAAACCGCCTCTGTGCCTTTGGAAGTCCTTCCTATTTAGAAAGAGGACAGCTATGACCCTAGGTCAGTCATTACATACTTGACTGAAGACTTTGTGGTGCCTTTTACTTGTCCTGTATTCCGCTCTCAAGGTGACATCAAAGCACATGTAAGGTGTGAGTGGGCTGAGCAAAACCCTTCAATCATTTGCGTAGAATTTGGCTCGTCTCCACCACAACTTGAAAACAAACCCAAGGCTGCTGGCCACAACAATGAAAACAGCGTGCCTTGGGTATATCAGAGTCTTCAGTTGTCTCCCACAACTTCTCAAAGGCCTTCGCTCCTTACTGCCACCCAGACACATTACCTTGTACGTAACCTCTATCAGTGCGTAGCAAGGAGTGTTTGAATCCACATCAACGGGTGTTAAGAGCCTTGGTTCTGCTGCCAGCACGTACAAGTGACGCAAAGCCTGAAGGTGGTACCTGTGTGTGGGAGCAAGGAATTCAGTGCTGCGCAGTACAGGCAGAGAAATAACCCCCAAATACCAAACGACACACAGCTCAATAACCAAATACAGCTGTTGATTAAACTAAAGAGAAGTTTGTAGTGACGTAGGTTTTACATTGCTTTAACCCATATGCGTTGGCTAACAGAAGAGTGAATCATAGCTAAAACTGATTAAGGGCCATAAATGGGCAGGTCTTGCATAAAAATCTTTTCGGCTGAGCAAACTGGAACAGTCAAGCCACAGGAGCACAGCTCAGAGCCTCAGGAAACCTGCTTGCATTTCCTCAGTGACCAAAGATCACTACCATCATCTATCTTATATCTTTACTTATTTCTTCTAACTTTTTTTTTTTTTTTTTTTTTTTAAAATCCTCAAAAAAAATGTACAGAGTGCCCAGGAAAAAAATCTAGCTCATTTGCCTCTAGATAACCTTTTCTGTAAAAAGACAATTTGGCTTAAGGAAATATGAACCCTAGCAAGCCCTTACCGGTTGTCCGTGCTGTGAACAGGGAAGTGAGGGTACAGAGCACAAAGGAGAGCAGCAATTGAAGAATTTGATGTGCTCAGTGAGTATCTGTAGAAAAACATTATCTATTAGTTTCAGTGCTAACGAAGGCCCACAAAGGTGTTCAAAATATTTTGGTGCCCCAGGGAAAGGAAGGACAGCAGCAAAGTGCATACAAACAAGGAATTTACAAATGTGTTCCTATAGCAGTCAAAACAAACATGTAGCAGTAGGAAATAAACACAAGCCAAAAACATTCCCATGGCATTCAAGCAAGGCAGTATTTAGAAAACAACAGGACTTTCACTTGCAATGGAAAAGGTCTTTATGCATTGGTATGTTATTAAAAAAAAAAAAAAAAATCAGTTACATTGCACACTGCTCCAGCTTTTGCAGGAGAGGTGAAAGAAAAAAACCTGCCTTTGGAAATGGCAAGTTACCTTCCTCCTCCCAAAAAGAGAAGCCCCAAAGCCATGTGGTGAGCCAGGTGGAACCCGTAGTTCATCTCGCCACCCGTCTTCTTGTGCATGAAACGGCAAAGCTGAAGGACTTTCAGGTTTCCAGAGCCAGCCATCACCATCGCGAGAGACAGCAGCAAGACGCTCAAGCATGTTTCGAGATTATAGTGACCTGTCTTCAAGTAGAATAGGGAAGGCATTATTACACTTCTGCGGTCAAATGCATGCTTCTGGTCGGTCTAATATGCTGCTTTCTACCCCAGAGTTCAAAAACCACATTCCACAGAAAGAGGGAGAGCGGAGAACCAGCAAAGTCCTTAGCAAAAGTGATTCACAGCCCTGCCACATTCTATAAATAGTCTGTAATATAGAAAAGTAAAAGGGATGTTTTTGTTTCCATTAAGGTTTTGGTGAGGGTAAGCAAAGTACGTTACACAACAAAGCCTCCTTTCCATTGAGAGAAAACTAGAAAGAACTTACTATTGAAGCTGTTGGTGCTGACAAACACTTCAGGAAATCTGTTGCATATTTGTACTGGAAAGAAGAGAAACGCATACTAAATATAGATACAAAAGGTAAGTTACAGCTCTATGGAGATTGAAGGGAAAAAATAAAAACCTCTTACCAAGCACTTAAATGCTGCCAGGTTTTCTGAACCAGCAAATCGAAATCCCAGTGACAAACATGCTCCAGCAATGATGTAGACATGAGCTTGCCTAACAAGCAACATAAACAGGAAATGACTAAATATTTCTCTTTTCCTCATCTGAATACACATCACAAACTCCTTTGTAATTAAAAAGGGGGAAAGTTAAAAAGACAGACTTATTCTTTACAGAAAACAGAAAATAAAATTCCCTAAATATCAAGGGAGAGATTTCTTTTTGCACCCTGATGTCTCTATAAGGAATTCAGCAGCGTTTTTCAGAAGAATTTTTTTTTACGTGTTACTTACGCCAGTGTTTCTAAACTCAGGTCTTCAGATGAAGGCAGCTCTGCTGCATGAAGAGATATACTGTTCTCTCTTATGATCTACAAAAAAGCATAAGAGAGGAAAAAAATGAATCCAGGGGCAACTGGTTAATTACCTGACGCTCTGGGCATTGAGGGTTCATAAGAGATGTGAGACACGTCTGCTTCACGGGCACGTAAGAGCTATTTTCTCTTCCACATGCTATTGCTCCATTGTACTGCTGATCCAAAAGGGACACCTTTCAGTGCTCCTGCATCTGATCCCTTAAAGATCTCTAAAACAATGGCAAGACTGTGTCAGAAACACGATGGTACTGCATGTACTCAAACATGAGAGAAAACAGAACAGGATGAACGCTCAAGAGGTTCCGTAGTCCATCAGCATCCTGTATTTCTGATAGATATTTAAGTTATTTGTAACGCTGAACTGAAACCTCCTGGCAGCAATTTTGCACCTGGATTCTTACTTGGTCATTGTGGAGGGAAGTTTAATCCCTTCCCCCTCTCTGGCACCATTTTATATCTTGAACAGTTGCATCCCTCCTCAATCCTCTCCCCTCTAGCATGAGGGGATGGGAGTCCCCAGGGATCCCCTAACAGTCCAGGAATCCAACGTAACCATAATCTCTATCATGTGAACACAATTAACGTCCATTTTCTTGTGCAGCTCATGTGACTAAGGAAATGTTGACATGCCGAGCAATCCAGCGAGATGCAAAAACTGGGAAGTAAGCACATTAAGGGTAAATACCTACTTGAGGCACGTTGCTATTAACCCACTTGGAATTGGGCAAGATGTCATCCCACAAAATCAGGCACCGAGCCAAGGTCTGAAAAAGTGAGAAAGCCAAAACATAAGGAAGAAAAAAACCCAATGCAAACATCAGTAGTATCTTTTAAGTCTACTAAGTGCATCCAGAAACACAGACAATCCAGCTATCCACCAGCAGCTTCTTCACTGCTTCTCAGCCTTCATCTCAGAAGTGACAAAATAGCTTTTATTTTAAAAGATGCAGATTCTGCTTGCAGAAAAAAGAACCACAGAATAAATCCTCATGAGATCTGTATCTGGTAAACAGAGATGAAAATTCGCTCTATACTTGTAACAGATGCTGAGGCCTAACTTACTTTTTATCTGTGAAATTAATTTGGGAAAAGCTACAAAGATTTACCTAAACTTTTCACATTCTTCATCAAATGTATCATTCAAGTATTTCTGACTAAATTCTGTCTCTAGTGCTGCATGACAAGCAAGCTGCCTTACTACAAGCAGAAGCTGTTTGAAGGTATGACTTTGGCTGGCAAGCAAGAGGGTTACCAGCTGTCTAAAGGATTCTGCATGATAGGCACATGGGCTGGATTAAAAATTAAAATTAAAAAAAAGAATGCATTTTTAGTTTTGCTAATTAGACAGAGAAATGAAATAAAAGAAAACCTTACCCTCAATAGAAGGAACTCTGGTTTTACAAAGTCCAGCAAATACATGGTATCTGGTGCTTGAAGCCAGTCAGCAATGGATCTGCAGAGCACAGTAAAGGAATGGGGTTTCCAGATCTTATTTCAGCAATGCACAAAGTTGAGTAAGCCAGACAAAGCAGAGTCAACATTACAGTTTAAACTGCTATCATGAGTTGCTGGAAAATGTCTGAGCAATTCCAAAGTTAATACCTGTTGTTAGTCTTTAGGTAGATCATAGCAAGTGCAAGCGTGGCACCCGGACAAGTAACATCCACATTTATGGTGTCTCCCTCCTGTGAAAACACAACGCATACGTTCAGACCAGCTGACCAGGAAGGCAACAGCCTGTAGTAATGTGTCGAGGCATTCAAAGTCACTTGGTCCATCGGGATACACACACCCCTCTCAGACTCCTAACTATTGCTATCTTCAGCTGAAAGGAGCAAAAGTCATCAACACGTACCTTGATTTGGTAACTGGGAGACTTGTGCTTCTCTCTGTGCATTCCCGCTTGGAACCGCCTGTGACCCCCAACCATGTACTGGTAAAGCTGCTCAGGAACGTTGAGGTCTGACATGCCTATCAAATTGCTGCCGTGCTAAGGAATGAAGAGGAAAAGAAGTAATATGGAAGTCCTTTATATGAGAAAAATAAAAGCTTTTGGCCAAAGGCAGCTGGGAGTCAAGGATGAAACTGCTCTTATTACCCCACCCCAATATATGATGATTCTTCTACTAATTGCAGTTGAAATGAAGAGAGGCACTTACCCCTAGGCAAACCATGCCTAAGGCCAGCCCAGATGCAAGGGAATAGGACTCCCTGTCTGTGCAGTACTCCATTTCTGGTCCAGGGGGACGTCCTGGAGAAAAACAAAACATTTAAATTAATCTTTTAAAATTCCAGCTAGTAAATGATGTTTAATTAAGCACTACATTTCTAATAAAATTAGGGGAAAAACCCAAACCTGTCCCTTCTCAAGAAAGTCCTCAGTGGAATTGCAAATAATTGTCCCTTAACCCATCCATCACCAAATAGCAAACCCCTCCAGAAGCAGTATATATTGCTAAATGGTATTGTTGGAGTTCAGAGAGACAGTGGAAATACCATGTTACAGTTGCATACACTTTAAGACCTCTGAACCTACCCAAAAGCTGTCAGAAGAGCTCAAAAGCTGCTGCTAGAAAAGATTGTAACTATCAAATTACCAGAAACGTAACAGACACAATTTCACCCTTAAAATTGATCCCATTCTGTTTAATAATCCACACAGTCTCTTTTAACTGAAGTTACATATAAACACGAATAAGAACTTAACCGTTACAAATAAAATCAGAAGAACTATGCACAGAATGAGGACACAATTCAGATCAGAAATTTACTGCTCAGAATCGGCTCTCAAAGACAACTGTTTAGAAAGCCTTAAACAAAATGCAGAACAGGAGACTCTAGGACACGATGGCTGCACCTCCACCAAGCTAGTGAGCCAGAAAGGCTGTCCTTGCACGAGGAAAGCATTTTTTCCCCGCCCAGTGCCTCCACCTCTGGTTTGTACAGTGGCAGCTACCTCATGGACAGACAGGAGAAATAACAAATGTCTGGGAAGCATCAGATGCGTTGGGTACACAGAGTGCAACAGATCTGCTCAAAAGCTGGAGAGGGTCAGGATCTCTGCAGATATGGCATCTGGGTCAGGAGTGACATATAGTGACAGCAATCCTTTTACCAAGTAGCCGGCAACCCTAGAAACCCCAGACCAGCTCTCATCAGACAAAATTTCCAGATGGAAGAAGTATCTAGGTCCAGCAAGGATGCTGCTACATTTCTTCTGTTAAACCCAATGATTGTTCCATGCCATACAAACACACAGTTCACAGTAACGCCCATTCCTCTGAAAACAGAAGGCGAGGTTTGGCAAACGAGAGGTGAATATTGTGGTGGGAGATGTACAATTAAAAGAAATGTTAAAATTCTCAGTTCCCTGATGCACTGTGCAGATCATTCGCACCTCGTGACTCTCCCCGTCCACATCCCATTTTTCCAGTGTTAGCACCTACCTATTTCAGCCAGCAGAACCTCGGCTGTGTGCCTGTGAGCGGTGCCCTGATAGACCAGGCCTATCCCGATCACGGCAGCCACCTGCACATTGTGGGGGACATCCAGCTCTGTTGAAGTTGGTGGCAGGAGGGCAGGTATGTGGATGCTCAGGAGGCGCGTAATGGCCATATCCATCGTGCCCAGCTTGGCAGCAGAAACGCCCAGCAACAGTCCAATACTCGTCATCTCATGGCCCTGAGAAAGGCGACAAATATCAGTGATCAAAGAAAGCAGATGTGTTCGGAAAAGGAAAGACACTTCTAATACGAGCCTTACAGCCTCAAATATACACAGCAGCGAAACTTTTTTGATCCGCCTCTTCAGGAAAACGACCACTAGCTGTTATGGGTGTAAAGGTATTTCCCAAATGCACCGTCTTACTGCAAAGGCAGACTTCAACTCAAACAGAAATTCTCACACAATGAAATACTAAGCACAGTTATAACGTAGGTGGTTAGTTTCCAAAAAAAAAAAAAAAACACCAACCCAAAACTCAAACACTTGGGTTGTTCTAAAAACAAAACCTGAAATTTTTGCTTTAAAAGGATCTTACCCACCTCCTCGGTAGTTCTTTATCAATCCCTCCCCCAAGCCACATGTATCATTTCCTGGCATTTAAGTTTGAAAGTAATTATGTCTTCACAACCTCTTACGATTTGAGGTGAGATTTCAAGAGCACATAGGATTTTCAGCCTTTTAATGCAAAACCCATAAAATCTTGAGTCCCTAGCTCTAACTCTGTAACGCAAAGGTTAGCAAGAGCATCGTGATAGAAACTGGGCGGCAGTAATTCAGAGCATTCACCTATCCCAACGAGCTGTGTACAACGTGGAAAGATTTAGTGATAAAACTGCTGAAAATTTTTTGAACAGAAATGAAGTCCTGCACTACTAACGTTAACAAAGTGACCGATATTCTCCCACACTAGGAAACTTCCAATTCAGTGTTTCAAAGAAATCTGCTGACTTTTGCTTTCTTTCTTTGTTTTAAGACTTCAAGTCCTACAGATATGTTCCTCTGTCACCTGCGAGAGAAGGCCTCACCTTGGTTAGGTAGTCATGTATATTGAGTGTGGCAAGTTTTGTGAGATGCCCGTTGAGGCCCAGAGCCATGAGGAAGCCTGCGTATTCGTTTGCTAGTTCAGCAATTTTGGGCTTGTTATAGACAATCCAAGCAGAGTCAATCTGCGAAGCAGGTGCTATCTTCAGGCCGGCAGCTACCCCGTTGTGAAAGCTGGCCCAGCAAGCCATGTTAGGAGGCACATCGATGTTCCCACTGTTCAGATCAACAGTGGTGTTCCTAGGAGGAGCACGGCCTGCCCATGACAAAAATCATTACAAGCATTAAAAGGTGAATCCAAACCGCTTCAGAAACAGCTCTCAAGTTAGCAGGGTGCCAAGCGAACAAACCCTGACAGCCCGCTAGATAACACTTTTTATCTGAAGGCAGCCTTAGGTATCTTCAGGCATGTCAGAAGACAGAAGCATGGCACAGTAGATAAACCAGCATTGTGGACTCTGCACTATCCATAACCTGTATGACACCAATGCTGATCAGCTGCATGCCCTTAGGCAATTTATTTCACTTCTCTCTGCTTCTCAGAACATACCCGATAAGGTCTCAGTGTTAGATAATAACATTGGCCTGATAACAAGAAGCTAGCAGGTGACAGATTCAAAACAAAAAGAGCCACTACTTCACAAAAAGCACACTTAAGCTATGGAACTCTTTGCAGAGACACAGAAGATGCTATAAAAATTACAAGAGGTTCAGAAAGAAATGGGGTAACAACTGAAAGAAACCCCGACCAACGTACCAGTTAGATTCAGCTTAGGGATGGGCAACTGCTCCGTTGGAACAGGATGATATGAGAACAAAGTGAACATTCCTCGTCCAACAGGTAGTGCCATGGTTCGCTGGCACAGCTGTAACAGCCTGTTGGGGAGATGGCAGAAAAAAACCAAATCAGTTGCTTAATACAGAAAATTTTTCCATATACATGATACGAAATGGACCTACAGACAACAGGCACGGGACAGACCGTTCTTTCCTGCCTATGAGATAGCATGATGTCTTTCCTTTTTTTTTTTTTTTTTTTTTTTTTGTAGGCTAAACTTTTGAACCAAATCTCTGGTCCTTACAAGATTAATCTCAAAGATATACTTTAACTGACACCTTGTTGAAACTCGTCTCTTTTTCCCTTAAAACTAAGTGCTAGTTAAAGAAATCTGTGCTACGGACAATTTAGCAGCCACATCAGAAACAAGGTGAAAGGAGAAAGCAAAACAAAGCTGATTGCCATATGGGATCTTGCTATGACTGGTGATCACATCTAGTAGTAACCTGTGTACAGAATTAATAATGTGCTTCCAAGAATGCTGACCACAATTCTCTATGATTTACTCTGGAAACACTTTCTAGACTTGTTAGATTACTCAGCTTGTTAGGTCAGACAATAATTTGATGCATTCCTTTAGCTTCCTACTTCTGTAGTGTTTTGCTTGTTAATGATGTTCTGAGGTTTGCTTTTTTTCTTGTTTTTTTTAAAGAAGATACTTTTAACACCCCCAAAATAAGTGAATAAAGAAGCGGGACGGGGCCAATTGCGATGCCACTAGGCACAGAATGGCTCCAACAGGAGGTTTCAAAAGAGAGAGGGATGGGACAGTGAATTTGCTTTCTGTAAAATTAATTTGGTCCCCTGGCCCAAGCCTTGCTTAGACCCAAGATCAACCCTGAACAAAGGGCTCTCCAGTTTTAGGCAGGGGATTGACGATGCTTTGTTTTCTACAGACGCATTTTCTCTACAGAGTAGGTCCTGCTTTTATTTCACACTTTTTAGGTGGGGGGGGGGAGGGGGGAAAAGTGCTACAATCTGCTTTCAAACCCTAACCAATCTCAACATGATACTTGGGGTTCAAACTAACCATCTTTCCCATGTGCTGCTCCAATCTGGAGAGCCCTCCAACTCAAATACAGCAAAGTTTTGATGTACACTGTGCTTCAAAGACTTGGATTATGAAACCCAACTCTCTTCCCTGCACCCTTCACTCAGGTCTGCCTATTTTAACATTCCGTTCAGACTAAAATACATTGCACCGTTTGGTTAGACAAACTTAACTTTAAGCCACCAAAAATATTCAAACATTTTCCACCTGAGTGAAATACTAAGAAAATACTGCAAGAAACGGAGACAGTTTTTACCGGTTTTCTTTCTCTTCTATGTATTCATGGTCACTAGCTTCTGGCATCTGCACTACATTGACGCGTACAGGACGGGCGCTCTGAAGGAGCCTGCGTACTTCCTGCACTCTCAGATCCTCGCTCCATATTAACGACATCACTTCCTCGTTCATGTCATTCATGCCATCCTCATCCTCTTC